GATGATACTTAGGGAACTGAAGGAACAACAGATTAACATGAACATGAAAATGAAGTAACTGAAGGAAAAACCGACGATGCTAAAGAAACTGAAGAAACTACAGATGGATAAGCAGATGATTAATCAAAAACCCAACATGAAAAAGAAAATCACAAATAGGAACCAGAAGTAAAAATAATATATATTTTAAAGGAACCTTGCGTAATTTTATACTCAGAATGCCATTTCACTGGTGACGAATTAAAACTGTGCGGTGCTCACCCTGTTATTCCAAATGATATGAAAAACTTTAAAGTGAAATCAATAAAGGTTCCCGAAGGTGTTTAGGTTACATTCTTTAATAAGCCTAACTTTGATGATGAAAAATTACATGCTAAAAATGAGATGGAATGTCTTGAAACACCTTTAAGATTGAATTTACTAGAATTGATGAATAACCTAAGAATGTCAAAGCATATTAATATAAACTCTATATCAGTTACAAATTGATAATTGAATATTTAGTTTATATTTACAAAAAATATTCTATAATAAGCAATTTTTCGTTATTTAAATAAAATAAATCCCAATTAATAATGTTTTAATTTTACTATAATTTATAATGATAAGATTCATTCCCAATTCCTATATTATTATACAAAAGGATATTCACTAATTTGAATACATAATATCATACTTATTTTATAAATATAGCCGAAAAAATTTCAGCCAACATTAACTTGGAGTTGCAAAATTCAATTTTATTTTGCTATCTCAAAAGCGAAGTAAAATTGAACCCCGTTAATTCCATATGAAGCAGGTTTGAAGGAATATAGTCATTTATTCTTATAAGATAATTTAACTTTTAGTATATTTTTGTGCACTTTTTTATTCATTGCTTAGAACAAAATATATTTTGCATTATCTGATAAATAAATAATTTAAATAGTATTTTGGAGATTTGAATGGTTTTTCTTTATCTTTGGCATATATATCAATAAGATAATTATTACGTTTTCTTCATTCAATACAAAATTAATACAATTTATTATAACCTGAAAATGGCTAGTTTACTGAGTTGAGATATCTACAATTAACCCCATCAAAATATAAAAAGCAAATAATTTCTTAAACCAAAAAAAGATAAATAGAGTTTAAGACCCAAATTGAGGAGAATAATAAAAAAATTATCTGATTTATAATGAACAATATGGTAGAAATAGGAGAAGGTTTTTAAAACTAATTAGATTTGCCAGCTAATTGATTAAAGACTGTAATATAAAAAATTCTCTTTGAAAAGTAATTCTAATTTCATTTATGCTCAATGGCAATTAAAAAAGAATGTTATTATGATGACCTAGATAATTATTCTTCTAATAAATTATGCTCAAATAAATTAAAAGATTAGCAGTCGGGATTTAAATATTACATTGTTACACTGGAATGTAAATTCTAATTAGCAATACTTATATGTTATTTGTGTAGACAACTACGTAAGTAAAAAAACTTACAACTTTTATTAAAGGCTTTATGCCATGGTCACAGTTTGCTTAATTATTAAATGTTTATAGATTTTAAGCATGATTAATTGAAACAAAAGTAAAAATTATTTTTGATAGAAATAAAATTAGGATAAAATTATTAAAAATAACAATTCTAAGTTCGAGGTGATAAGATGTGCGTTAAATATAAAAGACCCTTTATTTTTATTTAACTTTAATAAATTTGAATTATTAAACTCTTATTCTGATACTCACAATTATGTTTTAAAAAATACATTAGAGAAATCTATCTATTTAAAAGCAATCAATTTGAAGGGTAGGCTATTTTTACTAAATCATTTAAATAGAGTGATAATTTGCACTGATAATAATTAATAAACTATTAACAAATAATATATGCTCGTCCATCACCAATGAAAAATTTATTTAATTTGCTATAGAACTTACCTTGAATTACATTCAATTGATAAATTTTCACAGTATGTATTGAAATCGAATTATTCATTAATTATTTAATTTAATTTTCGAGTCAAGCAAACTTAAGAAAAATAACAATGGAAAAAATTTCAATCAAATGTAAATACAATAAGTTTCAGTTTTATAGAAATATTGAAAATAATTATAGTTCATGGTGATA